TGACATTATCTTTATCAATATTCAATCTCTCTTTGACAACTTTGAACGATGTTGATGCCAATTGTAAAAAATCTCGTATCCAGATTCCTTACGGTTTCCTAACGAAATGATAGTCGAAAGGTCTGGTCGAAGACAAATGGGTCTTTAATTTGATGTTCAAAAATTCCTATGTGACATTAGTATGCAGATGCTGGGTCTTCCGGTATCATCTCGACTTTCGACTTTCGACTTTCGACTTTCGACTTTCGACTTTCGACTTTCGACTTTCGACTTTCGACTTTCCGTTGGGAAACTAAGAAGGATCTGGAGACGAGAATGCTTTTTTACTCAAACTTAATATTTTTCTTGCCTTTTGCAGACGGAAATCTGGCTTCTGAAGGGCGTCCTATAYTACTCCACATACGCATTTTAGGTGAGCTAAAATTCGTTTCTTTAGTGCTTGCTTCAAGATCCTTCGATAAATTAAACTTTTTTTTCTATTAATTACATATTTCTAAAACGTTCATGTTTTTTTCATATTTTCCAGATTTATCTCCAGGCAACAAATATCGCTCGTCATATCGTTCGTCATTATTTGTAGAAAAGGTCTTCCTCGAAGTATATTTTAATAGATATCGCTCAAGTTCAAGCGACCCCCTATAATAAGTACAAGGAAAGATGGTAAAAGCAGTCCTCGTACAGTGAACATTCCTATATCACCTATGAAGCGTACCATACTCGGTTTTCTGCTTTTTATGAATTGCTAATAAACCAATTTTTGTAAATCTGTACTCAGATATTATTGCACTGAAAACTATACACAACATCGTAGAACAAAATAAGAAAAGATGATTCATATCAAAGAATTGTCGTTAGTGCGGGATCCATGTGCTTTTTAGTTTTGGGCTTCCTTTAGCAAATCCATGCCATATATRGAAACAAACAAAATGGCCGATTTAAAAATATCATTGTTGCAGTTAGGATTTATGATCATTTTTTTGCACTGAAGAAGATCTGAGAGTAGATCGAAACGTCTGAATAAAAAACTAAGCTAGAGACAACTACACATATGTTTTTAAAATGGCCGATTGTTGAGAAGTGTTTTCGCTATAATATCTGCAAGTTTCAGACGATTTCATGCTTTGAAAGTCGAGGAAATCGCCAAAAACCAGTCCAAATAAGGTAAGATTACAATATATGGCTGCTAAACGAAGAACAACTTAATTTTCTGGGGCAATTCCTTGGTATGTCCAGTCTCCTGTTTAGTCTGTTCTAGGTTCATGTGTTTTGCAAAACTTTGTTTTTGTTGTAAACTTTTGGTTTAATTTCTTTAATCTGTCTGACGCAAAAGGCGCACTAGTTTAAGTTGCAATAGACGGACTATTTAGGARAGAGAGTAAATTTCCCTATTTTTGTGATATTTTTKGAAGTCCTGTTATATTCCTCTTTCTTGTCGTCTTCATACAACTTCTTTGTTCTTTTACTGACTGGTAGATAATAATTTCGATTAAATTCTTTGGAAGAACTAGACTTCGCTTTACCTGAAATATACAAACATTTCGGMCAGCCTTAATACAGCTATTTAAAAAAACATTTGTCGGGGATGAACGGCAAACGGCGATTGTCGAAGGGAGATTGCACGACCGAAAGGGACTATGGTTATACTGTTTTGATAAACAAAATCTCACTTATTGGACTCGCCTTACATAGAAATGGAGACTAAATGGAGCCAATGTTTACCACAGATCATCTTACAGTACAAATCAGTTGTTATTGCCTTTCAATTAGCAAAGCTCATGGCTACTTTCGCTCGTGCAATCGCCATTGACATTCGCCATTTTATCCGTCAACTTTTTTGAAATAACTATATAAGCCGTTTACCGCTTTTYATCGGCTTACTATGCTATGCGTTCTGGTTCCGGTCCCATCTGGCCCCTGTTTTTCTAGTATGTAGATGAGGCCTTTCCAGGGGGTTATGGACCACCTTGATCCCTAATTATAAAACCCCCTATGGGAAGGTCTCATAGATAATCTGTAAGGAGAGAGTGCAATCAGAACACTAGAGCAGAGATCAGTAGTAATCTGTGTGCGGCACGAGTTACAAGTCGCCTTTTAGTGTTGTCTCTCAGATCGATTTCTAAATACTCGCAATTGTAATTATTTTTTGGCTAGAGTACAAACACTAAAACTGTGCAACATAAATACCACGAAATACTGCTAAATTATGCTAATTCTATTGTTTTCTATTGTTTAACTAACACTATTTTGTAGTAAATAGTGGAAAGTGTTGCACACATTTAATGTTTGTACTCTAGAACTTTTTAACTAGTACGTTAAAGATTTGTTAGTACAAAGACGGTTCTTACCTGCAGCAAATCCACTTCTTAACTTAAAAGTTTCATATTTCACTCGAATACAACCAGGAAGATTGTTATTCTGTAGGACTTCTCCCGTGTAGGTCTTAAAGCCTGGTAATAGATCGGATATCTTGGGAAATCCGGTAGGCCATTGGTCAGGAGAACTTGACTGCCACAATGCCCATATATGGTCAATAAATGACGCAATGAGAAGATACTCCGGTGCCAAAATGTTATCAACTGAGCACATAGTACCCCCTATTGCGCACGTCACAATGTGATGATATTGGCGTAATTTGCGTTCAAATTGTTGAAATTTATCAATGGGTTTTTTTAACAATGTCTGAATGTGAGATTTCCCTGGAAAGTGGGCAGTTTTATCGAAGTTTCGTTGAAGACAAGACTTTCTCCCATTTGAATTATTCAATTTCCAATGAGTTTTTCGGAAAGGACCACTTTTGACACACTTGTCGATTAATGCACCATCATGGCCCAGACCACGTGATGTACTCCAGATTCCATTGGTTGAATTTGTCCATGGGTTCCCGGATGCTAGTGTCCAGTTCCAGAAGGGGATAGTAACGCGGCAGTCAACAATACGAAGTAAGTTCTCAACTTTCAAAAGAAAGTTTCTATGCCAWGGYAAAAAGTAYCTTTGAGTGTGAATATACTTTGAAAAAAGATTTCGATATGAGTCCACAAGATTGTTGTATTCCTTTTTTAGATATTTGTTTTCTGTAAGTTTCTTAAAGCTCCGTATAAACATGAGACGTTCCCCTGGAGACATYGAGGTGAATTCWCGCCKTACGCGTRCGCAARTGGTGGTGCGATGGCCATCTTTGCATTGACATTCRCGATTACAATCGTCTTGATACTTTGTGCCTTTGCAGTCTTTACGGTGATARACTAGACGTGGATTACACGACAATATTGTATTAAATAGATATTAATACCTAATGATCGTAAAGTTGTTGTTGAACTCAAAGAGGTTACATCATAGAATTTAAGGCCGAAGGAGAGTATGGGAAAAATAATTTGATACTATGTATATATAGCTCCATAGACTGCAGCCGCCGAATTGTTCGTCTACCATGTTTCTTTTAAGTCTTATATTCGACGATGTGACCTTAGATTTGAACCTGAAAACAACTATTTTCACTTCGTTGATTTGCAAGTATCGCCATATTACCTTGTAGCMTCTTTACCAATGATTTTGCGTCTCTAATGTGTTGCATATGAAAAATATGTTTGCTTATGGGATGACTGACGACTCTTCGTAATTGAAGATAGCCATGCTTGCTACCAAAGCTAAAAAAATATCATTTCAACAATTTTTTGCCCGTCTTTCCATAGTTACGTTATTCTAAAAAATGGACATTTCTCTTAATTCGAGCGATCAGGAGAACAAAATATACATAGTCTTTGGAGCCAAGGTCACACTTTGGGGTTTTCTTGTTTTGTTTTTGTCTTCTTTTGTTTTGTTTTGTTTATTTTGCATCAAAAGCGGGGGCTAAAATTTACGGTACATGTATTGAACGATGATTCGCGACTGCGATTTGCGTTAACCTTGTGCAGTATGCATCTATCGCTTTCAAAAAACCTTGGACCATAGAATTATTTGTCTCCAGCCGAACATTTTTCTCCTTTATTTTTTCACTCCCTCATTTTTTCACTGTTCTCCCCTTAGCCCCCTTTCATCAATGTTGGGTTTTGGATGGTTATTACTATGGTATGTTGTTACTATGGTAACATGCTCAATGACAACTTTGCATTTAGGGGGGAGGGGGGGGGGTTAAATTGTTTGCGGGTGTTGCTTATAATGAGGAAATTCGCTGGAATGGTCCAAGGATTTTGTCAACGATTGTAGAATGTTTGTTTTTGACGCGTATGCCACTTACCTTAAACCGTATATTTCCACACCAAGTTTTTTGGCTGCCAGTGAAAGGCTATAACCATCGGATGAATTTCCTCCTGATATGATAAACACTACATGCTTAGCGTCTTTTCGCACATTGTCAAAATTTTCAAATGCTTGCCAGTGAATGGACTCTAAACAGGAGCCAACTGCACGATCTTTGTTTTGGTATCTGGAATATACAAAAGTGGAAAATTATAATGTGGCGACATCAATTGAATGTCAAAAATCTTTATTTGCAATGAAAAGATTGTAATGACAATAATATTGATTACATAATAATAACAACAATAGTTACAAAAGCAGTTGTAACTCGTCGACGTCGACTGACAAACTTCAGCACTAGACGTGGTTGTCGTTGAATACACTTTTACCTTAATGTTGGAATGAAATCAAGTACGCATTCCTTGTTGACAAACTTGTCGAAGAAGAAATTAAAATGCGTATAAACACTAGAGCAAGAAACGATGGCGATCCGTGCCTGGCTAGGAGATACACTAAAAGGCTCTATCAGTGCTCTGGTCAAGTTTTTCTGRTATTCAAAGAAGTCTTGATTAGTATGATTGCTTGCGTCTAATGCAAATATAATATCCAATTTTGGTACTGCTCTTGTTGATCCTAAAAATGGAAAATGTGGTAAGAAATAGCAGCACGAGAAATTCAACAAAAGTCACATCCTCGTCGAAGCAAAGACGAAGTAAATGTTTGATCAAAATGTTTTGTTTTGTAAATGTTTCGCAACATCATGCAGCATATTGCTGGCCAACTTTTCACAACCTTAATTGTTTGATGGTGTCCGTAATATATTTTTGGATGGAGCTTCAAATATGTGGAGTTGGATTTGTAAAACACTCAATAGAAAACATCGCTGTTATTGTTGTTGTTGCTGTGTCTGTTGTTGTTGTTGTTTCTGCTGCTGTTGTTTTTCATCTTGTTTTTGATGTTTGTAATRTTTCAAGGCTTACTGGACGAAGACTTGAGTGCTCGAGGCGAAGTATCGCAGCAAGGTGTCTCAAGAGGCACAGAAGTGTATCATTTGTAATCCACTTGTCAAGGTATTCGTCCAAATACTATCAATATTTTGTGGCACTGTGGTCTCAATCCATAAACTATATTTCTTTTCCTACATATGATTTTTTTTCTGATCAAGGTGTTTATTTTCTTACTGCTCACCTTTCTCGCCAGGCTTGGAAAGRCTTAGRAAATCCTTCTCGATTTTWAGAGCAATATCTTTGATATTCTTGTGTTTATCTACAACAGGTGACCAATAAACTATTCAACTAGAAYTTTAAAAAGCTTCTCTATACAATTTTACTGCCTTAAAGGAAAAGGCTTCATACTCTTAATGCCAACAAAAAACATTAATGCATACTGCTGTATGCTTGTAAGATAAATAATGTACAATAAAAAACACCTTATAATCGATCCTCAGTTGAAGTAGCTACGTTTTCTTACCATGGTGATCTTGCTGGTGCCTATCAGCCGATACTAACAGTCCATATAATAACAAAACTATTATCCCCWTGATTAACATTTCAATGAGCTACAACTCGCAGAGTTGCTACTCGATACTTATTTTAGCTTTCAAGGACATTGTTAGAGATTCCATTTACTTTTAGAGTACCAACTCTTCATGGGTGAGAGTGTGTCGTTAAAGTCCACTAGTTCAATCTCTTCTCAGGTGCTATATCAGAACCTGCTGTGCTTATTGAACCAGTGATAATCATAGTGTAAACGATACAATAATAATAATAGCCATTTCCACGACAACACATACTGTTGTATCTAAATACCTTTAAAAACCTTTAAATACTTGAAATCCCGTGAAACTACTGACGTCATARCTAGCGCGACTGATCAATGTAGTTTTATTTGATTTTTCCTGGATGAATCCTATTTAATTCATAAGAAGATATGTTTAATTTTGAGATATGTCTACTGTGCATTTTTCTTTCCTATTTTAACAGAATGTTGATATTTTCAACACTTCGAGTCTCTTTTCAGTGCATTTAAAAAATATCAGAATTTCGCGTAAATATATATGTTTTGAATGCGCAGAAATGTCATTCGTTGACACAATTCAAATAGGAATGGATTATTTGAAACTAAGTTGTCCAGTAGTCGTTGAGTGAGCCCCTGGAAACTCTCTAGTTTGTTGTATTGTATTGAATGTCGACAGAAACAATGGAATTTCAACAACTGGAATTGATTTTTAGATACTAGTCAAATTGYCTCGAGTACATTACGAAACTATATCTAAACAATATATTTTTTATACTAGACCAATAGTATTTCAATTTCATCACTCTTGAATCCCAATTGGCAATCGATCTTGTCATTATATTTTACAGCCTATTCAGTGCTAATTAYCCTCAGATGCAGAATGTATGATAGCTCTGACAATTTCCATCAAAGAGGTCACGATGACAATTGCATTCTTTGCTGTAAAAATWGAAGCATCATGCTTGTATCTRAACCAAACGGTTAGACGAATYAATAATAGAGGGATATTRACAAACAGTAACTGAAATGACAAACGGAAMACATAGAAAGCATTGCCAGGACGTTTCATTTCGTGACTGTCGAACTCGTTTTCTCCCATCTCCAGAGCTGTCAAAAAGAAGCTAATRCAAACAAATGCTATGATACTTCTTTCAATATCACTCGAAAGATGAAACGAAGGATCTTGATGAAGAAGCATTTCAAGTAATTCCAGTTCATCAAATAAGTCCAAAGCAATTGATCCACACAGTTGYGCCACTGAACCTTCATAACATTGCGAGTCTTTAGCTGTTGTCAACAGAAGAAGGGCAATAGCCGGAGCACCACATAAGGTTATCTTCARAACATTTGGACCAAAGAAATTGTTCTTATCGAGTTTATCTGTAAAATCACTTCTCAGTAAGAGACATACCATTGGGATAAGTARAAATATRGCGTAGATCAACCATATAAGCCATTGCCAATTGAGTTGCTTTCGACGGAAATACATAACRTGAGCACACATGACAATGGCAGGAGTCACAAGCAACAAMAGCAAGTAACACCATTTGTTGTCCAAGTAAAAACTTGCATAGTGGGAAAATACAATCGMCTGTGCTATGAAAACGCTGAATAATAGAAATCGACCGAAATATCGAAGCATTAGCTTCATATCTTTTGCGATTTTGGAAATAATTGATAAAAAGATAAGTTTGAGCTTACTTCCGAGTATAGTGGACTTTGTCTTGCAGGGTCAACAGGCTTCCTTTTTGAATTGTAACACAAYACCTAAAATACGCAATACATGTTTTTATTAATAATAAAGACAAAATAATACTCTGCAATTATATGATACCCGTTTAATAGATAATATGACATACAATGTATAAATCTTTCAAATAATTGTAAAGTTCATATAAGCTAAATAACCATACATTCAGAAGCTGTTAACTTTACCAATGTAGCACACAAACTATAAACTTTGAGATTTTCCCTTTAAAGTTTCACACTGCTAATTTATGGATTAATAACAATTACAATATCTTGTATTCAGGTTCCATCATTTTCTTTTTCTAATATAAGTCAATAATCGTCAAAATATGCATCATTTGAATCAATTAATAATTTTATAACTTCGACAATAGAGACAACTACGATGATAGCGTTTTTGGTGATGAAAATGGACGCTTCATGATTGTATTTCAGCCATGCAATGAGACGAACAATCATCAGAGCAATGTTCACCACTATCGTCTYGAACACTAGCCTAAAGATAGTCAGCTTCTTCTTGCATTTTCTTTTTCCGCGTGTTGTTGGTACAAATCCTTTTTCTGCCATCTCCAAAGGTGAAAGCAAGAGAGCTAATGCAACAATGACTATTATGGCGTAGATCAATGATTTGTCAAGGTGTGATGTTGGATCTTCAGGAGCAATAACTATAGTCAGGGCCTCCATGGTATCGAAAAGATCTAGAACTATACTTCCACATAGCTGTTTCACAAGGTCGCCATACTTTTGAGAATCAGACGCTGTTGTGATGAGGAGAAGGGCAATCGCTGGCGTTATACACATGGTTATCTTAAGATTATTCGGACTCCAGAACTTGTCTTTATCAAGCTTTTCTCGCACTTCAGTTCCAAAGATGATGGCAAAGAACACAACCAACTCAACTGCATAGCAACCCCATACAATCCAGAGATGAGAGATTTGTCCAGAGATGAGAGATTTGCCTTCCGCAGTCTCTAAACAGTACTAACAGTGATATTATGAGCCAGGCGAGTAGAACGAGAAAGACTAACAAACCCACAAAACTAATTCCATCGATATTGGAATACTCTACCAGGTACATAGAATAACACAAGTGATTATTCCACAGATCTTGAAGAACGTTTGGGCATTCATTTTAATCCCACAGATTATATTGTCGATCTTTTGGACAGTTCAGGGGCACAAGAATTTGCCAGGTACAAGAAGACAAAAAAGTAACTTCCAACTGCTTCAATTTCGTACTCTCTAGTATATCTTGCTGTGAAAAATCATGATTTTAAGCCACGACCGGGAATTTCTTGGAAATCCCCAAAGGGACTTTCCCAATTTATAAGGCAAATGACGTAAGAAATTATTTCTTTCAGCCGTACGAAATGACGTTATCTCTTGACATAGAAAAAATAATTGTTCTCAAAAAAGGTTATTGGATTTCTTTACAAAAAAAAGAAAAAAAAAAAGGAATGCTATGGTTGACATTCATTTTTTCATCCCAGTCATCATGTATAACATACTAGTATGAAATGTATTTTTGTCACTCGCTAGCTATAGGTAGTGCATATAGAATTTTTAAAATTTTTCATTTCCCCACTAAAACACACTTGACATTCTAGACCATTTCACACTAACAAAAAGTGAATATTTACACAAGTCACATGGCAATTGGAAAAGTGGAATAAGTGTTTTATTAGGTGGACAGGCTTGTCAAGATCGGCTGGATGATTGTGAGTTATGCCTTGCAATAAATACATCAAACGTTTTCTCAGTTTTTCCTTCTCATTCTTTTTATTGTGAAACATCAGATCTACCAGCAACTGATGAGCTTGTAGATAAATAAGCTCGGTCAAAGCAAGTTATCTTTTGGCATGGCATTGTCTACTTCTAAAACTTAATGATTGAATGAATTAAATTCTACTATCATGAAGTATTTATGTCTGGCTATGACTAGCTATACTTTTTCTCCCTGTTTTTTGTTTGTTTGTTTGTTTTGTTTTTGTTTATTTTTTGTTTATGGCTTTTCAAAGGTTAACAATCATCAATTATCACCAAGTCCACAGCATTTCTGGAATTTCATAATGTTGGTTATAGAAACAACAACTATGATAGCGTTTTTAGCGATAAAAATTGACGCTTCGTGCTTGAATTTCAGCCATGCAATGAGACGAACAATCATCAGAGCAATGTTTACCAGCAACATCTCCAACAGTAATCTCCAGAAATACAGCTTTTTCCTTATTTTGGTTTCTCCTCGTGGTAGGAACTTGTTTTCGGCCATTTCCAAAGGTGAAAGCAAGAGAGCTATTCCCACAATCACTACAATGCTGATGATCAAGGATTTGTCAAGGTGTGATGTTGGATCTTCTGGAGCAATCACTATAGCCAGGGCCTCGATGGTATCGAAAAGATCTAGAACGATATTTCCACATAGCTGATTCACAAGGTCGCCATACTTTTGAGAATCAGACGCTGTTGTGATGAGGAGAAGGGCAATCGCTGGCGTTATACATATGGTTGTCTTAAGAACATTTGGACCAAAAACGTTCTTTTTATCTAGTTTTTCTCTCACGTCAGTTCCAAAGATGATCCCAAAAAACACAATCAATTCAACTACATAGAAAAACCATACTGACCAGAGTTTAGATAGTTGATTTTCATCACACGGCTCTCCTAAGATTCCTAGTATTCTGGACCAAAGAATTAGAGCAGGGAGGACTAACAAACCCACCCAACTAATGCCATTGATACTGGAATACTTTACCAGATACATAGACAGAAAGAAAGTTTGTAACGCCATCAGTATAACGAAAGCYAATCTTCCACAAGCCTTGAAGACCTTTTGTGCATTCATTTGTACAGCTCTTTGTCAATCTTTATGGTCAGGTCCCCACAAGAAGAGAAAATGTATCTTGCAAAAATGTTCGTACTCACTGAGTCTGATGAAAGTAGAAGTCAGACGATGTTGTTTACGTGTGGATTTCCAAAGTATAGAGTAGAAAATGATGACTTATCGAATTTTTTCTCGCACAACTTRGTGGAAACTCAGTTCTTGGAAGACCGGAAAGCGACTTTCCCTTTTTAATATGCGAATGACGTAAGGAGTGTAATTACTGTCAACCAATTCTTCTTTTGCACGTTACGTCATAGATCCAAAAAAATTAATTTCCCATGAAATCGATTTTACTCTAAAATATAGTTTAGAAAACTATGTTTCGAGATAATTTTTGAACTTATATGTGAATAATTTGATGCACAACGTGTTTTATTTCTGGTAGCCAAAGTCATGTCACACAACGTACTCCAGGTCACGCTCTTGAAAAGCCGTGGAAATCMTCTAAAATTCTTCTAAATCGTAGTTTTTTGTTTTAATATAGATTTAGAATTGGTAAATGTAGTGAAAATAAGGTATATTTGTTACTTTGTACCCGAGRTTATGTTCATAACAGTTAGCCGCCTTTTCTGGTGGACTTCAGAGGTCCACTTGGAGTACGGTGCCGCCATACATTTCTTTGTAAAGATCGGCAAATAAAATTGCTTATAAACTTGCAACAAAAGCTCGGTTCGACTCAAAATTTCACAGAATTTTRATACGTCTATKATGTGAAAGTACCGAAATTTTATCTTTGATWTTATTTAACTCTCTAAAAATGTTGGTGCCGTGGAAGCATATAAACAWGACCTCGCCATACATTTCCTTCTAAAAAATTAGCGTATAAAATTGTTTATATCTTGGCAAATAAAACTCCTTTCGGCGAAAAAATTATCAGGGATACATAGTTTCACTCGCTCTTTCAGAAGGATTAGTTGAATTTTGTTTATGACTAATTTTGACGGAAAAAATATTTTTCATGACGTACGTGAAAACGAAGAATATGCTGTATCTCTTTCACAGTAAAACATTTGCTTTCCAAAAGATATCAGGATTTTCTATGTGATTGTCTACAGTCAGTTTACTGTTGTTTGTTTTTATTCGAGACAAGGCGAATCGAGTCGTACGAAATATATTATGTATTTTTGTCAGATATTTTCAGATTTTCCCGGAATTCAGGCATTAATTACTTTGTATAAAACTTCATGATATGGAGTTTAAGAAACTAAGAGTATGTAAGAGCTTATAAAGGAGTGCTAGGCATGTTTTTTCAACAACTTCTGCATGGTAATGTAGCTAAACCAGTCTTACATTTGTGCAATGTTTATTTTATTAATTCAGCAAAAGTGTGAGACCCCTGCAAAAGGTACACTAGGAAMTGATGCATTGAAAGGACAACGGAAACTTGTGAATTCTAAAGATTACATCAGTGTCACTGTCGATTATATTGATTATACATAACTAAATGTATTATTTGAATAATTTGTTATCTATTGATGATTATTTTTCTATTAACATGTATTTTAAAATCACTCAATAATAGTTTGATACTATTCAATTAAATCAAGTTTATTCCGGTGTTGGAGATAATGAATCGTGAACCCAATGGAGTAGAGTCGTGCAACATTGGATATCGTTTTATTTTATATCCTGTTATTGCTTCCAATGTACTCTATTATCTAACAATCGGTACGTGCATCTATATGTAACCTATCATTATTATAGTGTCCTGGTTTGTTAATGTGAGTCAGATTTTGTTTTGATTTTGCACATGCATGGTCAATTTACCAAGCGAAATAACAAAAGTTTAGTTTCCTTTTCCAGGTCTATAGCGGTTGTTTTAACAACACTTACAATGGCTGAGGAGTTCTGTCCCACAGACAAATATCGCAATGAAGTTTTTTGTCATAAAAATGATGGCTGGTTCGCCTCTGTACTCACGCCATAATAGACATCGAACCACCAAAAGGAYAATGTTGACGATTATTTTCAGAGTAAGTTTGGGAAAGGACAGCCATTTTCGCACTCTGTATTGCTTTTCACGACGATTAGGCAATAGTTCATACTCAGCCAATTCCACAGGCGTAAGAAGCAAACTTATTGAAGCGCATGATATACTCATAACAGCTATATAGTGTGGAAGACTTTTTAGCTCATCTTGGGCAACTAGGGCGACTAGAATTTCGATGTTATCGACGAGATCAAACACTATACTTGCGCACAACCAATAACCAAGTCGTTCGTACTTTTGAAAATCTGAGGCTGATCTGATTAGTAGTAGAGCAACTGCAATCGTTAAGCACATTGTAACTTGAAGACTATTCGGACCCCAAAAGCTGTTCTTATCAAGTTTCTCTCTGAGATTTGCGAAKATAACGTCAAAGAGAACAACAAGAGAAAAAATATAAACCAACCATATTATCCACACTTTTGATAAATCCGATAAATTGTAGTCGACAATCTTGCACTTGATCGCAGACAAACAAGAAACAGCAATAATCAAGATTAGAAAAAACACACCAAGAGAGATGCCAAGCAAGCTAATTCTCAGCACATATATGAAAGCCAAAATACTGATCTGTGCGAGGGCAAGCAACAGACATAGTATTCTTCCAATGAGTTTGAATGTAGTTAGACTATAATCAGCTGATCGTCGTTCAACCTGTGGTTCTTGATGCGGTGGTGAACGAGGCATTTTATTCATCATTCCCAAGAGAATGTTTGATTGTATATGTCTGTTTTGCGGGGGCAAAATGTGATTACTGTGCAAATTTCGTCTGATGTCATAAATGCTACCATTTGTTAAAGGGCTACTTGGATGAAAAATGACGAAATACTGGCGAAAAGGCACAAAATTCTTTTAGACTTGCAGTCAATAGTGAGGGTCCTATAATAATAACGAAGCCACGTATTTTGACAAGATATTAATTCAATTTCTTAGAAATTTTGTCAAAAGATTTTGGAGTATATGACGTCATATAATGCATCCTTTTGTTCTTTCTTCGTTTGAGGCTAAATTTTCTCTGATTTGGGATGAGGCTGCGTATCAAAAACTTTTTTTTCTGAGAAGACATAATACTTATAAATGAATCATATATTTGAATTACGCAGCGTTTTGGAATTCAGCTTCTTCGTGCAAGTAGCACTTTAAACAAAAAGTTTTAAAATGATATCTAAGGTCCGTGATGTTTGAAAGATATATAGCCTCGCAGGACTGGTACGCATGTGGAAACTATACTGCAATCAGGAAGAATCGAAATATTTTTGTCATTCGCTGCTTGTTGGCTTGTTGATATATAGTTAGGATATCGTCGAATACCAAGTTATGATAATGATATCTTAGGGACTTTCCCATCTCTGCAAGAGCTCCCGATGCACTTCAGATATTTTCTCCAGAAATTTCCAACATAATTTGTCTTTGTACCTTTWCTGGACTATTTCGGGTCTTTTCTTACTTTTACGTTGCCTTTTTGTGCACATAAAATAATAATAACTTTAATCCTCAAAATATCAAATTCATACATAGGATACAAACATTAACAATACACCTAATAAGATGTTAAAAAACATAATTACAATCATAAAAGAATAACTATATATTAATTACATTCATCATTATATATACATGTTAAAATTTCAAAACAATATCTAGAAAATAATTTTATAATAGATTCATCTTGCATTGACAGGAGATATTTAAAAAATCATCAAATACATTGAAAGCTTGGTTTATCAACCAAGATCAAAATCACTGAGATCACGGAGTGCTCTAAGTATGCATACTGATGAGTTCATGGTCCGATCATGCATGGGTAGTCACAGGCAACCCAAGCAGAGCATTTGATTCAAATTTTTTTTTCTTAATAAAATACATATTACCTTAATCTCATGTGTTGCTGATGTTATTTAACATTGCAGTGTGTGGAGTTTTGAAGRGATTTAGAGCTATTTCTTTTTTTAAATATCGCCATCAGTCATAAAAGGTGGCGATATTTTTTTAAAAATAGCTCTAAATCCCTTCAAAATCACACACAGCAATGTTTCTGTAAGTAACATCAACAACACATGAGATTAATAAGGTAAAATGTATTTTATAAAAAAAAATTGAATCAAATGCTCTGCTTGGGTTGCCTGTGGGGTAGTTCAATCAGACATATATCTTAATTTTAAATAATAATGACGAAATGATAAAAATCCATTATTCGGGTTAATTCACTGATATTTCCAGTAACGGTGTTTGATCGAAAAGCTGCATATACTTTTRAATTTCTTCGTCCACCCGCGACCCGAAAAGTAAAGGTGGAGATGAGAAGTCTTGGGTTCCCTGTGTTAATGCCAGCGGTTTCACCATGTTCACATGGCGCTTCGCGCGCGATGATGACTCGAATTGATCTGGGGAAAGACGAAATAGKAGACCATAGTACTGCTAAAACACTCTGAAATGGCGAGAAAAAGAGCTTCCAAATCAGCAGACAAYTCACAGGAGGTTTGCCGTCCAAAGAAAAACAAAATACAAGATGAAAAAGCTGGCAAAGCCAAAAATAAAGGTAAGTGTTTTTAAATATTGGGCGAATCTCTCTGGCATCTGCTTAACGCTTAAAAGTTGTTTTGACTTTAGATGAAGCCATTTTAAAGATCATACTCTATATATTTTAACACGATGATGATGGTTTATCATAAAAAGTTAGCGCAACAATGTTAGCGCAAGTGTGATTCTTTCGCAAAGTCAAGTATATGTATGTGCAGCATTTTTCAGTACACATTTTTCATTCGCGTGTTATGATGTTATGTAATGCATGTACACCACTTATAACACGTGTATCGTGTGTAGATTGCACTGGCATTATGCACACTATGAAACGAACAAGAAAAGTTGTATACACATATGGATTCACTGTCATTTTAAGTAGTATTCGGCATATACGAGAATGGCTGGTTGGTAGTATTGCTTGGTAGTATTGCCTAAACTTGAATTGCAGAACAAAACATGGTTGTTCACAAACGTTAAATTTTAGGTAATAAAGGAAAGATCGCTTGTGCATCAGATAGAAAGGTTAAGGGAAAACTCCCACCAAAGCACAAAGAAATCAAAACAAATACACGTACAATGACTGCAAAAGAAAATGGGACAATTCCATTTAAAAAGAAGAAAAATAAAGATGAAAAAAGTAAAAACAAACAAAGTTTATCAAAACAATGCCATGAAAATGATTCAAATAAGAGGAAAGCATCAACTAGCAATCTAGCACCAAGGACAAAAAAGAAAAAAGAAGATATTGTTAATAGTACATGTAACACTAATACAACACCAGAGAAAAAAATTGTAAACTGCAAGTCATCACCCAAAAAAGGCTTGAAGAATGAGAAGCCCATTCAGGCACTACAGGAAGATCTAGATTTATTGAAAGACACAAAGCAAGATGATGATAACGATGTAGTTAACCCTGATAGTGGTGAAGAAAGTGAAGATGAAATTGAATGGGAAGATGTTCAAGGTGAAGTGTATGTACTTATTGACTGAGTGGGAGGGCCGTACGGGAAAATATTTGGCACTTGGTCATTTGTACGGACCGAGCGCAGCGAGGTCCGTACAAATGACCAAGTGCCAAATATTTTCCCGTACAGCCCGACCTAACTCAGTCAATAAGCATTTTATCATATGACAGCGTTTTTTGATGTAAAAAAATAAATAAAAGCGCGCGGAACTTCAAGCCGGGAGAATACGGGTTTGCACGGACCTGTCGCGAAAAGGCGTACAATCATGTGACCATTTTCCAAAGGTTTCAGTGAGAGCGCACGTAGGGCCGAAATACGGATCATATGATAAAATATATTATTGACTATACAACATCATACACTATAATTAGTTATCAAAGGAAGATTTTTTGAGTGTATGCGTATCAAATTTTTGGTGAATACACCTAACAATGTGCCATTTAAATCTGGAAAATGCCATCACAAAGTGGAAATTGAACTTGTTTACTTAAGGCTTAGATATCATATCCAAATTCTAGATATCATATCCTGTGATTAGCCAATCACAAACAAGATTAGTTGCATGTCTTGAGACTAAGATATCATATCCTTCATTGTCCAATCACAAGCAGTCTATTTTTAGAAGTAGATATGATATCCTATTTTAACCAATAGTCAT